TACCTTAAAGAGAGTGAGAGAGAAACAGGTGTAGAGATGGCCTTGAACAACTCACCCATCTGGCTGGCTGGAGGAGTGGTTGTTGACATCCAACACGTGCGTCGATTCACGAGTGTAAATAAACAAAGTTGGAGGTGCGTACGACTCGGAGGCGGTGTCACGCCACCGCACACACCTGGCCGCTCTCCACACCTCCCGCGCTGGACTCTCCAACACAAACCCGTCTTCCTTACAGCTGTACAAGTGTTCCAATACTGGCATGCATGCCACCGGCCAGCACGGTTATTGTCTCCATTACCGGGGAGCAATAATCACAATCTAGGTCGACTGTCTTCACTTAAGTTGGTTGTTTTCCTCAGCAAGGGGTTCTTGGTCTTCAGACGCTGCTATGGGATACTAAAGCAACGTCTTGATGTGGTCCTGTAGCTGAATCGTCAAAGTCTTCAGTGCCGAGATAAAGCACAGAGACTTGAGCCAGTGCCGGCGCAGGAGACACAAGCTGATTAATTCACATGCGAGGATAGAGTGGCGGAGGTCTTAAAGTGGCGGCAAGAGCAGGAGTGTGAGGAAGAGCACCAGCAGGAGCCGAGGCGTGGGGCGGGGCAGGCAGGACAGGACAGGGCGGGTGCAGGCGAGGGTCCAGCCATCAGTGAGGCGTGAGGGGAAGTAAAGTCTCCTGCCCGCCCACCGACCCTCTTTTACTTTCCACACACACACACACACACACACACACACACACACACACACACACACACACACACACACACACACACACACACACACACACACACACAGCCTACAGGGACATCAATTTTTATGGCCCCGTTGCAAGAATGTCAGTTGTCCCTAGCGGCCCTTAACCCCCAGCATGCCTAACGTGAGAGGCCACAACTTACCGTCCCCCAGTATACCACACCAGCAGCGGTCGCCTCTCCAAGACGTTGCGGTTGGCACAAGACGCCGTTGCAACAGCGCCGCACCAACCCGAGGATGAAGCGATTAAAGAAGACTACCACCAAGTGTTTGGCTCACTTCTCAGGACGCATACACCGCCCTCCGCCAATCACCGCCGACTAGGGGGTGTATCAGTAATGATTTATCATTGATTCAAGGAGTTCACACTTGAGACTCGGGACGGAGTTGGGGGTAAGGAGGTCTCGGAGTGTGTGCGTCCAAGACAAAGGACGATGGAGGGCTTGACTTGGCTCCCCGCAACACCAACGGGGAGGATGAGCAAGCACAGGGCCCCCAAGACGGTGTCCTGTAAGCTTAACTGCGTCTTCACCACACACAATCATCACGCTACAATCACCTTCCATCAACGTCTTCACTACACACAATCATCACGCTACAATCACCTTCCATCAACGTCTTCACTACACACAATCATCACGCTACAATCACCTTCCATCAACGTCTTCACTACACACAATCATCACGCTACAATCACCTTCCATCAACGTCTTCACTACACACAATCATCACGCTACAATCACCTTCCATCAAACCGGCTCAAACTCATCATGCCGCTCATTCACTCCTAAAACACGCCTAGCATTCCGTATATATATTCAAAGAAAAACACAAAACAGTTTTGATGCAGGAATCATTAGTTAAACCTCGAGCAGCAATACTCATTGCCAGGCCTCCACACCCCTCTGATTATATTATTATATATATATATATATATATATATATATATATATATATATATATATATATATATATATTATATATATATATATATATATGTGTGTGTATATATATATGTGTATATATATATATATATATGCACCATTCAGATAAATTAAGATAAAATACTGACAGGCTTCAGTCTAACAATTATCCCCGTCGACACCATCCTATGCCGCCACCACCCCCCACAAGTGGCATGATAAATCATCTACGAGTAATAAAATCTTACACCTGCCCAAAATTTCTATTTTTTTTTTTAATACGGCAATGTGTCATTTCAAGTGTCCATAATGGTCGTATTAAAAGTTTAAATGTAATTTTTATATTATCTTAATAGAACACCAATAGAACTCTTGGGATGGGGGGGGGGAAGAGGGGGTTGCAAACCGTGTGAAAATAAGGAAGAGAGAATTGGCAGAGGTTTTGCGCGGCCATAACACTGGGGACCACATCGGTCACAGGGTGTTGCAAACCACTCTCCTGGACCAAACTGCCAGTAATTCAACCCGTCGGCCCTAACTGGCAACGCAATAAAAGTAGACACGGGGGCAAGAAAGATGGAGGGGGGGGGCCAAGAAAGATGGAGGGGGGGGGCCAAGAAAGATGGAAGGGGGGGGGGGCCAAGAAAGATGGAAAGGGGGGGGGCCAAGAAAGATGGAGGGGGGGGGGGGCAAGACGGCTGGGATGGGGCAAGAAAACAAATTGCCCACCACACCCAAGTAACCAGCGTCAACCTCCTCCCCCCCCAACACACACACACACACACACACACACACACACACAATTGACAAATGGAATGCATTAGGCAGTGATGTGGTGGAGGCTGACTCCATACGCAGTTTCAAGTGTAGATATGACAGCCCGATAGGCTCAGGAATCTGTACACCTGTTGATTGACGGTTGAGAGGCGGGACCAAAGAGCCAGAGCTCAACCCCCCCAAACACAACTAGGTGAGTACAACTAGGTGAGTACACACACACACAGGTATGATAGGGAAATGGGACAGGAGTCATTGCTGTAAACAACCGATAGCTGGAAAGGTGGGATCCAAGAGTCAATGCTCGATCCTGCAAGCACAAATAGGTGAGTACAAATAGGTGAGCACACACACACACACACACACGGGCCGGTGGCTGAGCGGACAGCACGCTAGACGCGCGATCCTGTGGTCCCGGGATCGATTCCGGGCGCCGGCGAGAAACAATAGGCAGTGTCTTTCACCCTGATGCCCCCTGCTACCTAGCAGTAAATAGATACCTGGGAGTTAGTCAGCTGTCACGGGCTGCTTCCTGGGGCGTGTATGGTGTGAAAAAAATAATAGTAGTTAGTAACAGTTTATTGACAGTTGAGAGGCGGGACCAAAGAGCCAGAGCTCAACCCCCGCAAGCACAACTAGGTGAATACAACTAGGTGAAGTACACACACACACCCCTTCCTCCAGACCCTCATCATGTCGCCTAAAACTCAAGATCTCGATTGCATCTTCTAGAACGTCTAGACACCAATTCCTTATGGCATTACAAATGCACCACCACGGGGTCATGCACCACAACAGACACCACCTCGGGCCATGCACCACAACAGACACCACCTCGGGGTCATGCACCACAACAGACACCACCACGGGGTCATGCACCACAACAGACACCACCACGGGGTCATGCACCACAACAGACACCACCACGGGGTCATGCACCACAACAGACACCACCTCGGGTCATGCACCACAACAGACACCACCACGGGGTCATGCACCACAACAGACACCACCACGGGGTCATGCACCACAACAGACACCACCTCGGGGCCATGCACCACAACAGACACCACCTCGGGTCATGCACCACAACAGACACCACCACGGGTCATGCACCACAACAGACACCACCTCGGGGTCATGCACCACAACAGACACCACCACGGGTCATGCACCACAACAGACACCACCACGGGTCATGCACCACAACAGACACCACCTCGGGGCCATGCACCACAACAGACACCACCTCGGGGTCATGCACCACAACAGACACCACCACGGGGCCATGCACCACAACAGACACCACCACGGGCCATGCACCACAACAGACACCACCACGGGGCCATGCACCACAACAGACACCACCACGGGCCATGCACCACAACAGACACCACCACGGGGTCATGCACCACAACAGACACCACCTCGGGGTCATGCACCACAACAGACACCACCTCGGGGTCATGCACCACAACAGACACCACCTCGGTTTCATGCACCACAACAGACACCACCTCGGGGTCATGCACCACAACAGACACCACCACGGGGCCATGCACCACAACAGACACCACCACGGGGCCATGCACCACAACAGACACCACCTCGGGGTCATGCACCACAACAGACACCACCACGGGGTCATGCACCACAACAGACACCACCTCGGGGTCGTGCACCACAACAGACACCACCTCGGGGCCGTGCACCACAACAGACACCACCACGGGGTCGTGCACCACAACAGACACCACCTCGGGGTCATGCACCACAACAGACACCACCTCGGGGCCATGCACCACAACAGACACCACCTCGGGGTCATGCACCACAACAGACACCACCTCGGGGTCATGCACCACAACAGACACCACCTCGGGGTCATGCACCACAACAGACACCACCACGGGGTCATGCACCACAACAGACACCACCTCGGGTCATGCACCACAACAGACACCACCTCGGGTCATGCACCACAACAGACACCACCTCGGGTCATGCACCACAACAGACACCACCACGGGTCATGCACCACAACAGACACCACCTCGGGGCCATGCACCACAACAGACACCACCTCGGGGCCATGCACCACAACAGACACCACCACGGGGCCATGCACCACAACAGACACCACCTCGGGGTCATGCACCACAACAGACACCACCTCGGGTCATGCACCACAACAGACACCACCTCGGGTCATGCACCACAACAGACACCACCACGGGCCATGCACCACAACAGACACCACCTCGGGTCATGCACCACAACAGACACCACCACGGGTCATGCACCACAACAGACACCACCTCGGAGTCACAACCACAACAGACACCACCTCGGAGTCACAACCACAACAGACACCACCTCGGAGTCACAACCACAACAGACACCACCTCGGAGTCACAACCACAACAGACACCACCTCGGAGTCACCAATGGCACCTCCCGTCATATTAACTCTGCGAAATGTTTACGTACTCGGTTCACTCCAGCTGACGTTTCCACTCCACTTCGTGCAAGACTGGAAACCCAGTAATGACGAATAATTGCACTAACCTTCACAAGGCAGCCATGACACCAAAGGTACACCGAGGGCTTTAAACCCCCCACCACAGCATGGTTTCCACGGGTACCTTGCAATCACACACCTGTCACATCATCAGACGAAAGCCAAGGTGGGGCTCTGCCTCCTATATCTTGGCTTCTTAGAGTGTGACCCAGGCACGCGGGAGAAGGGGGGGGGGGGTGCCCCCAGAGCAGCGACCCAACCGAGAGGTCCTCTCCCACAGTCGCGGCCCAACCGAGAGGTCCTCCCACAGTCGCGACCCAACCGAGAGGTCCTCTCCCACAGTCGCGACCCAACCGAGAGGTCCTCTCCCACAGTCGCGGCCCAACCGAGAGGTCCTCTCCCACAGTCGCGACCCAACCGAGAGGTCCCCTCCCACAGTCGCGACCCAACCGAGAGGTCCCCTCCCACAGTCGCGACCCAACCGAGAGGTCCCCTCCCACAGTCGCGACCCAACCGAGAGGTCCCCTCCCACAGTCGCGACCCAACCGAGAGGTCCCCTCCCACAGTCGCGACCCAGCCGAGAGGTCCCCTCCCACAGTCGCGGCCCAACCGAGAGGTCCTCTCCCACAGTCGCGACCCAACCGAGAGGTCCTCTCCCACATTCGCGACCCAACCGAGAGGTCCCCTCCCACAGTCGCGACCCAACCGAGAGGTCCCCTCCCACAGTCGCGACCCAACCGAGAGGTCCCCTCCCACAGTCGCGACCCAGCCGAGAGGTCCCCTCCCACAGTCGCGGCCCAACCGAGAGGTCCTCCCACAGTCGCGACCCAACCGAGAGGTCCTACCACAGCCACGACCCAACCAAGAGGTCCTACCACAGCCACGACCCAACCAAGAGGTCCTACCACAGCCACGACCCAACCAAGACGTTCTACCACAGCCACGACCCAACCAAGAGGTCCTACCACAGCCGCGACCCAACCGAGAGGTCCTACCACAGCCACGACCCAACCAAGAGGTCCTACCACAGCCGCGACCCAACCGAGAGGTCCTACCACAGCCACGACCCAACCAAGAGGTCCTACCACAGCCACGACCCAACCAAGAGGTCCTACCACAGCCACGACCCAACCAAGAGGTCCTACCACAGCCACGACCCAACCAAGAGGTCATCCCACAGCCTTAACCCAACCAAGAGGTCCTACCACAGCCACGACCCAACCAAGAGGTCTCCACAAGCCCTCGCCTTAACCCAAGCCCTCTCACCTTGACGGCCGCTGATCAATACGACAACTTAGCCGCGTAAAGAAGGCCTCCAGCGGGCGCCGGCCCCTGGCGCCTAGGGTACCCGCCGCTGCTCCTCACTCGCCCAAAAGCTTGAGCTCTTGGTAGGATGAGCTCTTAAAAATTAATTTTCGTCGGCGCATCCAAAGAAGTCACGCTTAATTCAAGAGGGCGAGGGGAAGGGAGGTGAGGGGAGAGCCGAGCGGTGGTAACCCCTTGGGAAAGGGACGGGCCAAGGGTACGAAAGGGGAATGGCGGTAAAAAAGAGCAAGTGGGCGAGGATGAGGGATAGTGGATAGGAAGATGGAAGATAGGGGAAGGGTTGCAGAGAGCATGTAGCAGGGGCTTCAGACAAGGATAGATGATAAAAGACTGTCATGGCGAGGGATGCAGAGAAGGGAGAGGGCGAGGGAGAGAGAGAGAGAGAGAGAGAGAGCGAGAGGCGCTAGGGCAAGGGTGAGAGTAAGATATGGCCAGAGGGGCAGCGGCAGCCTGGGCACTCTGCAATGAAACGGCCAGTTGTCCTGCCACGTCCATCCACCACCACCACCACGACCCACACCCACCCCCAGCATCCACAACCACCACCAGCACCCACCACCACCACAACCCACACCCACCACAACCCACACCCACCACAACCCACACCCACCACAACCCACACCCACCACAACCCACACCCACACCACCACAACCCACACCCACACAACCCACACAACCCACACCCACCCCCAGCATCCACAACCACCGCCAGCACCCACACCAACCCACACCCACCCCCAGCATCCACACGCCCTCAAGGCTCTAGTAAAGTAACGTTCACACAAAAACTTCAAATTGTATCATAAAATTTTTAATTTAATACGAGTCATCAAGAATCGGATAATGAAAATTCCTGGACGTGAGGCTAACGCGGTGTAAGGCCACGAGACCAACTGCCAGGGACACGAGCAGACGGAGAAGACGTCCAGGAGACGGGGTGGAGCGGGTTTTCTTCCTATTGGGGAGTGTTGTACATGCTGCTATGGCGGTATGTCCACTCACAGGATGAGTGGCGCTGCCCAATAAACTCGCCCCTCGGGGCAAAATTTAAATTTAATATACGTCACACCAAGTGGCCTACAATATACGGTGCGCGCTGTAACTCTACTCCGGGGCTGGCCAAGCCTCTCCCCCTCCCTTCCCCTCCCAGGCAGGAGGGGAAGAGGGAGAGATGGGAGGGGTGGGTGTTTGGCGCTGGGCCGGCCCCGGGCCACCATGAGGCCAGCACCAGTGCCAATATTATGATTATAAACACGCCGTTGGCCACGGTAGGACTACACACAATACACCTAACGCCACAACAGCCATCGTGAGAACGATCCAGTCCGCAGTAAGCTGTGGCACGGCAGTGAAACCCACAGCAACTGTCCTGTTTCCCCCCCACACGGTAATCACAGCGTCCTGCACACCAACTAGTTGCTACCGCACTTGCCACTACATTCAAATCCTTGCACGACACCACGCGGGTTTTAGACCTTAACGGAATGATCTTCATTCGATATGCTGTGGCCTTATAATGCCCCCAGCATCGCCAAACATTATTTGGAACACGGCCATGCTTTTTCCTCCCCCTCCCCCCCTCTCAACACCCCTCTTCAGTGTTGACCTCCACGTGGGGGGGGGAGGGGGGAGCAGACCCACCACAACTTACACGTACCACAGAGCTGTAAAATTTAAGAGTAACGGCTTGCAACAGACTTGTTTATTGCAGGCCGTAGCCCTAGCCAACCACACGGAGCCCGCCCCCCCCCCTCTCTCTCGCCCCCCCCCCTCCCCCAGCAGCATTCACCGGGGAAGAGGGAGGGAGCTACGAGACGGGGAGAAAGGGGGGGGGGAGATACAAGATACAGGAAGGGGGGGGGGGGTTGGGGCTACGAGATACGGAGAGAAAGGGTGGTGCGCCTCTTTAGAAACTTATTAATGCTGCCGCCTATACCTCTTCCGACACACTGGGCCATTAACCTCGCCCCCATTCTGCCTCAACAAGGTCCAACAACCATTCCCCCCCCCCCAGAGTATCACTCAAGCAGAGGGAGCCACCAGTGTTGTACAACAGGGAGGACGGAAGTAAAGCAGAGTCCAGGGCAGGCTCCTGGACACCCACAGCACGTGTCCAACAAATAATGCACTCTGGAGAAGTGGAGGCACTCTTGTACAGGTAGCGGAACAGTATACACTGGATAAAGTGCTCTCTAAAAGGAATACAATGCGCACAGCACACCTGCCTGTGCCCTATTGTCCTGACCACTACGGGGGTCGAAGACAGTGTGAACCTTCACACTGTCTCCAGTGAGAAGAGAAGCCAGGGAGAACTGGCTTCCGCACACCAGGGGACCAAATGGCCCTATCAGCAGGAAATCGACTTTAACCAAAGAGCGAACACAATCCGCTCGCAAGCCCAGCGAACAACGAACAAAACCAGGATGAACGTCAACAAAACCAGGACGAACGTCAACAAAATCAGGATGAACAAGGTTAACACAGCGATGAACCACAAGGCACTCAAGGAGGCGGAAGACGATCAAGAGCCTCTGGACGCACTCAACATTATAAAATGAAGTTAGCTTACATCCAAGGAGTGCCGGACCAACCGGGCTGTGGTGGGTATGTGGGCCTGCGGGCCGCTCCAAGCAACAGCCTGGTGGACCAAGCTCTCACAAGTCATGCCTGGCCTCGGGCCGGGCTTGGGGAGTAGAAGAACTCCCAGAACCCCATCAACCAGGTACCCCATCAACCAGGACACCGCTGCTCACTACGAGAACTTGAGAAGCAAGCAAGCAGAAAAGGGATATGACGAGTATAAGGCTGATAAACGATAGAGTGATAAGAGCACAGGGAAGAGGAGTCACGATGGACTAAGATACCATTGTCCCTAAGACTGCAGATAAGGATTGTTGGTATGCAGGTGATGAGTCACAATAACGTGGCTAATGTTGACCAGACCACACACTAGAAGGTGATGGAACGACGACGTTTCGGTCCGTCCTGGACCATTTTCAAGTAGATTGTCACAATCGACTTGAGAATGGTCCAGGACGGACCGAAACGTTGTCGTCCCATCACCTTTTAGTGTAGAACTGAGGCACTTCCACCGTGGCACTCTCGCCATGGGGGGCGACCGTGGCACTCTCGCCATGGGGGGCGACCGTGGCACCCCCGCCATGGGGGGCGACCGTGGCACCCCCGCCATGGGGGCGGCGACCGTGGCACCCCCGCCATGGGGGCGGCGACCGTGGCACCCACGCCATGGGGGCGGCGACCGTGGCACCCCCGCCATGGGGGCGGCGACCGTGGCACCCCCGCCATGGGGGCGGCGACCGTGGCACCCCCGCCATGGGGGCGGCGACCGTGGCACCCACGCCATGGGGGGCGACCGTGGCACCCCCGCCATGGGGGCGGCGACCGTGGCACCCCCGCCATGGGGGCGGCGACCGTGGCACCCCCGCCATGGGGGCGGCGACCGTGGCACCCACGCCATGGGGGCGGCGACCGTGGCACCCCCGCCATGGGGGCGGGAGTGGCACACCCATCACACATAACAAATGACTAGCGGAGGAGGAAGAGAAGAAAGATAAAGAGAGAGGGGGTCGAGAAGGAGATAAAGGGAAACAAAGGCGAGAGGATAATTTGAGGAGGAAGGGAAGCAAGAGAGGGAGCATGATGGAAGTAGGGCGCAGCACAGGAGGGGGAGACACACACACAGGGAGGAAAGCAGCAGCCAAAGGGAGTTCTTGGTCTCTTCTTGAGGAGGAAAATGTCTCCTTCAACGGTCTACCAACTCCTAATCCCTCAAGCCTGGCACTGCTAATTACCGCAATCTAACCTTAATGTGTGCCAGATGTCCAATGTCCTGAGGTTCGTACATCACAATAGTGGGAGGATATCTTTCTGTTGAAGGATAGCAAGAACTCGTCGATGAAGAAGCTATAATCGGCCTAGCGTAGCGGATAGCAACTCGACGAAGTACCTATCCTCTGCAGTGATGTTACTCTTCAAGCGCGAGTACTTGTATTTCTGTAGTACTGTTCTGTGCTCACGTCCCGTTATAAGGCCGGCAATATATCCACGCTAGAGAATACATATATGTCCTTTATTGTCTGTATAGACTAAGTCAAGCACCAACTACCACCAATCACGCACCAACCACCACCACCACCACCAATCAAGCACCAACTACCACCAATCAAGCACCAACCACCACCACCAATCAAGCACCAACTACCACCAATCAAGCACCAACCACCACCACCAATCAAGCACCAACCACTACCACCAATCAAGCACCAACTACCACCACCAATCAAGCACCAACCACCACCGCCAATCAAGCACCAACCACCACCGCCAATCAAGCACCAACCACCACCGCCAATCAAGCACCAACCACCACCGCCAATCAAGCACCAACCTCTGGGGGGGGGGGGCGCTTCAAAGTGCTACAAAGGAACACACGTGTACACTATACAGGAGTGTGGGAGACGGCTGAACGTGACAACACACACACATTAACAGTAAGCTACAGGAGCATTACTGGAAGACGCCTGGAACATGTGAGGGTCGCCACCACTCTACCTCCTACCACCAAACACATCAAACTCACCTGTAATAACAAAGTTTAAAGCATTCAAGATGGGAATTCCTTGTTCTATTATATTATATATATATATATATATATATATATATATATATATATATATAAGCCTATACTTGCATAAACCACAAGTGAAGATAAACAATCTTTGGACAACACCCACCAGTAGGACTCGAACCCAGAAAGCACAACTACCTTCCAGTAGCTGGCATAACTAGTATGCTTTAACCCACTACGCCATCAGACCTTACAAAAGAAGTAGATAGTTC